TCACAGTTCCTACCTTCCCCCATGAACAATTCCATATTATATACATACACAAACCATTTTTACAGTTATTTAGGTTGGAGGACATTAATACCCATGAGAATTTTGTCTGGGCATTTAATGAAAAGTGACAGCACCAGAGTGAAAGTGTTGTATTTAAAAAAAAAAAAAAAAAAAAAAAGCACAGTCAACCATCTGCTGAAAGATTCTCTTGTTTGGCCATTTTTTAATTGGTGAGAATGGAAGTGAGGTGACACAGAAACAGGATGTGAAGGCATGGGATTCATATGATCTTGCACCAAATTTAAACACAAACTGGGGGAGGGGAGAAGCAAGGCACAATCATGAGCAATCAGAGAATAAACTATTGGTAGTGAGAAGACCCAAGAAGACAAACCATAGGAATGCACTATTTATCAGTTTAGGGAAAATAGTCTAACATTGATACTAACACCAAAAAAAGCCATGCACATGTCTACGGCTTGTTTTAATTAAAGATTTGACCAGATGAAAAGTTAGAACAGACTATTAATCCACTGTAATTTTAAGAAGACATTTACCCAACCCACTGACTACATCCAAAGCTAAACTGCCCCAAGCAAGCTGCTCCTGTTCCCACACAGGTGAGCTGAGGGCTGACCCATCCTGGCTGCCTTTGGTGTGCATCCCACCTTCTACATACACACACCAACCAAGGCACAGAGCTCCCATGTACGCTCAGCAACATCCTTACAAAGCAGCAACCATAAATAACGGCCCAGTGAAATGGAGCCCCCAGATGCTGAAAGGGGGCTGTTTCAGCAGTGCTGTTACAGTATGAAAGCAATCTTTTACAAGTGCCTTTATCCCCACAATCATGTCACACACTGCTGTATGAGGCTGCCAGCCCCGGAGCTCTGCATGCCCACCACACAAACACCAAGCACTCACACACAGCAATGCCCAGCACAAACACAGGCCTGATGCCTCCTGAACCAGTGCTGGAGCTCAAGTTCCTACAGCAACTTCTGTGCAGGTGGATCCATCTGCCCACAGAGGGGCCACTGCAGGATCTGAGCCAAAATGATGTACCCTGAGTATTAACTTACCATATATTTCAAATATGCTAATGACAGTGACATGTAAATAGTACTGCATGAACCCTGCTCATTAACAGAGAGCTCATCCACTCCACAGAGCCATTAGCATTACTTCTAAGATTATAGGATTTTGGTTTTTATTCATGTTTTAAAAGTATAGCTGCTAATAATGAATTAATTCTAGTCACAGAAAAACAGTATTGGCTGAACTTTCCTGCTACTATGGTGTAAGTGTACCCAACCTTGGAAGTATTTTTAGCAAGGGTGTTCAATCAATACTGCTATGTACATCCTAAATTAGACATTAACAGGACATGAGAACTGTAAAGCATGGCAACAAACAATACATTCCACGGACAATTTTGCTGAACAAGAAGTAACCATCGAAGTAATTTCTAAACAGGTAAATTTGATTCCAAACAAATTTTAACTGCAAACGTAAGGAAAACATACTGAAAGGTAAAATTACTTAATACATTTCAGCTTGTGAAGAATATGCATTTGTATTTCAATGTTTTATCTGACTCTGAAAAACTAAAATTAAAAACACACACATCATCTAAAAAGACAAAGAAACTGTAATGACAACAAAATTATAGCACAAAAATCGGACCAACAGTACACTTCTGAGTTTACAAAGTATAAACTTGCCTGGGAAACATATTGACACACACGTACATATTTGTAAGCTTATCACCCAGAATCATTTTTTATCAACATGGTGCAAGCCAGAGTCGTGCCAATATGTAAAAACAACTTTTTAGGTCAGTGAAGCAAGAAATCCATTGTCAAGAAAATGGCACCCATAAGATTACAATAGTGAATATATTATGTTCAAGCAATGAACTGGAAAACTTTCCTACAATATACATAGCTAACAAAAATTGGTTTTACCAATTCTAATGTAACTCGTTCCTGTACTCCTGCAACGCACATTTCCAATGTGACGAGCACACCATGTCTGCATGCGTGTGAACACGTCGGTGGCTCCCAACATTACAGAGCACTTATTTGCCAAAACAAGCAGGCAAACGTGCACTCACAAAACCCCCTCACCACTGAACTCTGAGTTTAGCTCAGGGCAAGAGAAATGCCCCGTGGGTGAGCAAATGTATGTGCACACCGCAGCCTAAAAATTATCCTTCAGCTGAGATCCATTAGCACTTCTGTAACACACCAAGTCACACAAATATTTTCTGCCTCACAGTTTCAAAAATTGGAACCGCTTGGCCACACTGAAGTCTTGGATGGCTGTAAATAACAGCATAAAGTTCGCTCACGTGTATTTTACATCCGAACGATGTATATCCTTCGAACAGACCAGAGGTGGGAACATCTCACGTACACCGGCAGCTATCTGGTTTTAGCTACTAGCTCTTGGAGATTTTTGAAAGGAAAAAGACGCTATGCTTCTTCCAGCCGGTGCTGCAACAGCATGCACGAGTTAACCCATCACCAGGTAGACGAAAAGCCTCTGTCGCATATAGACACAGCGATTATACAAGCCTTCTGCTCGAGGGAGACACTAAAAATGTACCAAAGGAATGCAGCGACAGCACTCAAACCTATTTTCCCTGCCCATAACCAGGGCAACGCGCACATGTGCCTAGAAAGCACAGGATCGCAAAGTTTTTTATTAAACACGCTAAAATAAAAATCCGTTTCGGGCGTTCGGCGGAGTTCAGTGCATTTTGGAGACCCCGACCTGCCCCCGCAGCTCGTTCCCCTCGAGGCTATTTCCCCCCCACCCCCACACACCCCCTTGGCCGAGGGGAGCCGGCTCTGCTGCTTTTTCGGAGGGGGAAG